ATGCACGGCGTTGGTCACCGTGTAGCCCTCCTGCTCCTCAGCCTCCAAGGTACTGCCGCTGTGGTCGCCACCTCAGGAGATTGCTCGGCGCCCGCAGATAGCGCTGTGAACGCGTCTACCTGCAGGTATGCGCAATCGAACGTCGCCTCGAAGGTGGAATGACCGTCCAGCTTCATGGCGACAAGCGCCATACCAGCCGTAATGGAAGCGGTCATGCGATGCACAGTGGCACACATGTTGCCAAACGCGGTGGGCCCACTGGCACCCGGATTCGGTGTCCTTCCAGCTAGCAGGAAATCCTGCACTCGGGTAAGAGCGTTGCATGTCAGCTGTGCCTGGCTGTCGTTGATGCTCTTGCCAGTGTACTTCGTGCTGTAGTAGGCAGCGTCGCAGGCGCGGTCAGCAGCAGGCTGCAGCAGCACACAGTCCCCCCGTTCATCTTCAGGGCGGGCCAGTTGCGCTGCTGCCTCTGCCATGTAGACGCGATCCACCTCGCACGCCAGACTAAACAGCTGGTTGCACCCAAATGCCAGCGCTGCAGCTGGCATGTGCGGTACAATGTTCGGGCCCAATCGCGGCAGAAGGAAGAGGCCGCCGGTGCCAATCCACTGGAAGGCGCTGCGCAGGACACGAGGGAATGCCATGCCACAGCTATCATCTGTGCCACGGCAGCCGTGTCGCTTGCAGGTGTCGTTATGTGTATGAGTAAGCGTGCTGCGAATGACGGCCGCATGGTGCGTGCGGCAAGCAGCATGCCGGGGAGGCGGCGGGAGTCCGCCACCTGCACAGCCGGCCAGCCTGCCAAAATCGTACGCTGCAGGCGGGCAGGACTTGTCCACGGGCGGAGGCGCACGGCCATGCTGCTGGACCTCTTCGACGGTCATATCCATGACGTAGTGTTCTGCACCGCAGGTGAAAGGGTCATAGTACGGCGAGGGATACCACATGGCGCACAGGGCGTATGCCAGGGCCAGCGCTCGGCAGTTGGGTCCACTGAACAGCGCCTGAAGGCGCTCGACTGCGAATGTGGCCACATGCGCAACACCGTGGATGTGCAGGGCGAGGCGGCCGCTCTGCTCCACCTTGACCGCCACCTCAAACGTGAGCCCGCAGAAGCAGCGCGGGTTTGTCTGCTGCATGGCGCCTGGCGCGAAGC